ACAGATGATGGGTGAGAAACCTTAATTTGCTTTATTCTACCAAGAAGACAAAATGAACCTTCCTAAACTGAATCACTTCTATTCTTGTGCGATTCTATTACTCTTTTGTATCTGGTACCTATCTTGGCAACCCACCCACAATGTCAGTATCCAGGGAAATTCCTTGGTAAGCATGGCTTCCAGCAGCACTCTGGCCAATCCCTGGTTAGAACCATGGCCCAGGTATCATAAAGTACCAGTTAAACAGATCCATAAGAAACGCTGCGAATGGAGTAGAGTAGATTCGGGCCAAGTCGGCCTGGTGGAAATCGGGTTCTAGATGTGATAGAGAGAAATCATTCTTAACTTTGGAACAAATTGCAACAATTATATTTTACTTTACTTTAATCAATGAACTAAATAAACATACAATATTTTATTCTAATTAGTATTTCAGTACATAAGCTGAGTTTGGGTCAGTTAATGACATAGTTGCTAGGTAACATCCCTTGCGCGTCGTCACGAACTACAAGCAGGAGGTAAAAATCTAAAATAGTCAAACTATATTTTTCCCCCCAATTATAATAAAAATCTTAAATGAGATTAAATTCACTGAAATAAGTTCGGTCTAACCTGTTAACCTGTACAAATATTTATATCTTTATATTTTGTCCTTAATAAACCATATATTATTTTATCTTATGTAAGGACGTCTCCTTACGAAATTGTTAAGTAGCATTGGCGTTGACACATATTTACACTTGGGGGAAGGGGGATTAAAGGTCCACATAACATAAAGAGACTGATATTCTATACTGTGTAGCAATGAGCAGTTTTAGGCAATGGCCACTGGGTGTCAGAATTTCCTATTACACGTTTTACATTGGCTCACTGCAGCATCGCTTCAGAAAGAAAATAACTCTTAATGATAGATCCATGGTTTTAACTTGATTCCCCTCGTTTCCGTATTCCCATCATGCCTGTGAGCGTGTACGAGTATATGTGTGTATGCAATATTGATGTTTCTTGTGAGAAGACTCCAAAGGCTATAGATTCAAGCATTCTGAATAAATAGTTAATGACCCTAACATACTTTTCTCTCAAGAAAGTTGAAGTGAGATTCTTCCCATGTTTCTGTAAACACCTTGATTTCCCCAGCAACTAGAAATTAAAGGGCCAGTGTCTCCAGCCTGCTGTCCATTCCAAGTATTTTAAAACAACATACGCGATATATCTTAGTATTGCATTATGCTTGGTCAGATACGACATACATACACTTCATATCGGCATCATGTAAGTTACTATATATGATTGGTTGCCTAATAAAAACCTTTGATTATATATGGCCAAATGTAAAGCCAATTAAAACAGCTTGAGGCACCTATACATAACTAGGATTGTTACATAAGTGACATATGGATGTGTTTAATGAGCACCACTATAAAATGATGCAGCGAAAGTTGAAGCTTCGACCAGCAGCTACAGTAAGTGCGAGTTGTAAAAAGGGTTTCGTGTCTGCAGTGGCGATGGGGAAGCAGGGAGAGGAGGTGGGGGCCGCCGGAAGTGGTGGGCGTGTGTCTCCCCTGGTGTATGTGTGAGGGAGAGACTGGAGAGACTTTTCTGATTGTCAGTGCAGCACCGTGATGCAGGTGAAGAGAGAGAAAGGGAGGGAGAGGGAAGGATGGTGGGTTGATGCAGAAGGAGACACCCTGAATACAGATGAGCAGAAACGCGGGGGAAGCAGGTGAAATTGTGACGTGGGGGGGTTTCTCCGGCCCAATCACACCACCATATCCTCCAACCCCTTCCTCCCGGATTTCATCTTCACTTTGTCTTTCCCCCAGTGGGCCTTTAGAGGTGGGAGGCGATGACTTTTAGATGTGAGTTGGAGGAGGAGGACAGATGGGGGACCACTGTCAGCTGCACCGAGCAAAAGAGACATGGCCGGGACAACTCGCTCAAGGGGGGAACAGAACATGAGTGCCCAGGCTGCAAAATAAATAATCAAAGCATAAAAACAGACATATTCAAATAGCATAATCTAGAGGCCAGAGGATTGTGTTTGACAGGTTGACTCAGAGCTTGGAGAATAGCCACATTCTTTTTGACTGGTTTTAATGTATAATTCACAGAGGATCAGCAAGGGAGGGATGAGCAACAAGAAAATATGTGTTAGAGAACATGCAGTGATGTGTCAGTGGAGCCACAGAGAGGACGGAAGTTTCAACCAATACCAGGGTTTTGGAAACAACCGCAGTTAAAATATGATCATAATGATGGTGAGAAGTCCAGATTTCTTGTACTGAGTAACATGCTGCTAACATGTACAGTAGTATCACATGCTGCTAACATGTACATTAGTGCAGCATGCTGCTAACATGTACAGTAGTGTCACATGCTGCTAACATGTACAGTAGTGTCACCTTCTGCTGCTTTTTAGCACTTTTGTATTTGGTGTCAAATGAATAGTGTGCATTATTAATATGAAATAATATTGTGCCCCTCATAATAGTATATTATAGTTACTGCATTTAGAATACAGTAACTGTAGAAAATCTTCCGCTTTATCCATTGCCGGGTCAGGTCGGTGGCAGCAGTTTGAGCAGAGGTTCCCGGACTTCCCTAAACACACTTACTCCAGCTCATCTGGGGGAATCCACTTCCTTTGGTCTCCTCCTGGTGGGACGTGCCTGGAACACTTACTCTGGAAGATGTTCGGGAGGCATCCCCAACCGGTGCCCGAAACCACCTCAACTGGCACCTCATGACGTGGAGAAGCAGCGGTTCTACTCCGATCTCCTCCCAGGTGACCGAGCCCCTCCTTTGGGCCGCTTGCATCCATGATCTCGTCCTTTTGTCATTATCCAAAGTTCATGAGCAGAGGTGAGGGTGGGAATGTAGACTGAGGAATGTGTGTTTGACCATTTAAAGAAACAAAAAGAAAAACATACACAACAAATAGAGCTGAAGTTTTCTCTAATCCTAAAGTGCATTTTAAACGATTCTACTGAACTAATTTCACTGTTGTTGTGTCCATAGGCAAGACAATTCACCCACATTGCCTAGAATGAGTTTGGTGTGTGCGTGAATGGTTGGTGGTGTTTGGGGCACAGACTGGTTGCCTCTCTTCTGTCAGTGTGCCCCAGAGCAGCTGTGACTAGTTTTTCTCCACCGTGTCTGAAAGTGAAAGAATAATGTCATCAGAAGCATCTCGGAGAGTCCTAAAAAGCGCTATATAAAAACAATGTATTATCATTATTATTATTATTACTCTGATACAGTGCTCTGATTGGACCATGTGATTGAATACAATATAAACACTCTTGTACATTGGCAACATGGCATCACATTTCATACGCCACACAACCCCATCACAGCCCGCTCTCCTCTCCACGCTGCTGCTGTTTCACTGCGCATATATGTTTAGACAGCTCTCCATTGTGTGTCATGGTGTTGTGAGAGCCGGGCCCTGCACACATGCTTCCTGTCAATCCACTCTGCGTTTACATCACAGATTTCAGTCACACAAATGGAAGCGCACAAAAAAAAAACGCTGAGTCACCCGGGGCGGCTCCGCACACGCGCTCCGTTCGACATATGACTTTGGAGAATGTGGTGAAGTTGTTGTGAGTCATTACGGTTGAGAGCATGCGAAAAAAACTGAGTATCGAGACGCAGACGTGGAATAATAATAAGGATGACATAAATGATGCATTGGTTTTATGCAGCGCTTTTTGGGAAACTCAACGACCAATCACATGTCATTATTCATTCACTCCATACACGGTGCTGATAATATACGGTTGTTGCCACAGCTGCCCTGAGGCACACTGACAGAAGAGAGGCAACTACTCGGTGCCATCTGTCCCTCTGACCACCACCAGCCATTCACACACATAAGACTCATTCTAGACAATGTGGGTGAAGTAGTGTTTTGCCTAAGGACACCCCAACAGTGCCACCGAGGTCTCCCATCACAGTACTAACCGGGCCCTACCCTGCTTAGCCTCAGCGATCTGGCGTTCACCTGCAGGTCTGGCCACCGGGGAAATAAGCAAACTCAGGACATGACGAGAACATATTGTGATTTAAGAAAAGAAAGTTTAAGATACTTAAAAATACATTATTTTCTTTCTTTTTGACTTTCACCTTTTTGATGCCAGGACTTGGACTCCAACTGAGGCCTGATGAAATGATTTGAAATGATTGAACGAAGTCAATCATACAACAATTTCCTATCAACGCTATGATTATAATATCACTCTAAAAACGATTCTGTCTGCCGCATTGCACTATCTTTGAAGGGGACTTTACAAAGTTGTTGATTGACCAACAACAGATCAGAGAATCAAACCGTTCGAACACAGGAAATGCAATAATAACAAACATCCGAAATGACCAGTGTCCATAAATGTTAATGAAAGTCCCTTAAATCACCGTTCTTAGACCCTCCTGCATCGGCAAGACACGACTCTACAAAACCAAGTAAAAATAGTGAGAAACCTCATTTTACCAAAAAAAAAAACATTTTCCACCAGTCTCGTGCTGGGTCTGATTCAGAACCAGTTTTGGTTAAATTTCATACTGTATTTTATCTTTAGCAATGTTTTTTTGGTCCAAACTTGGTGGATTTGGATTCTATATTTTTGCATTATGTTAAGTAAGAAAGAGAACTCAAGGCCTAAAATACACACATGTGAGAACTGTAGTGATGGAACCAAACTTTCGAGAGCTAGGAACTTGTTAGATCACTTTTGTATGTTTTGAAAGTTAGGTACCCTTGCAGAAGTTACGCAGATTTTTCCCTCCTGCTGCTGTCAGACTGTACAATGAACTCGCCTTCTCTCTAGCTTCCAATTGCTTTGCT